ACCTTGTTATTTTAAATGCAGCGCTTGTCACTTACTCCCAATCTGGGTTAGATTGGGACCCACTGGAAAATACTGGCACCTCCTCTTAGGACTGTTCGTCTACTCCAAATAGAAAGCAAAATGTTGAATAATGAGAATTCCCTGAGGTTCAATCAGGGGACATATCCCCAACAACTCCCTTCCTCCCAGCAGCCCTGAGAACTGCCATTTGCTCCTTGTTGTAAGTTAGTGAAACACTACTGTTGGTTTTATTGCTGTTCAGTGTCTGGTGGTTCTTTTTGGTTTTGCATCATTGAGTTTGAGTTTGGAACTTGTTTCTTGTATTTTGATCCTTGGACATGGGAGTGCTAGAATTATCACTGGGGCAGCACGGTGTCTCAGTGGTTAGCGCTGACTCACAGCGCCAGGGACCCGGGTTCGATTCCACCCTCAGGTGACTGTGTGGAGTTTGCACATTCTCCCCGTGTCTGTGTGGGTTTCCTTCGGGTGCTCTGGTTTCCTCCCACAGTCCAAAGATGTGCAGGTTAGGTGGATTGGCCATGCTAGATTGGCCCATTGTGTCCAAGAGTGTGCAGGCCAGATGGATTAGTTATAGGTAATGTGGGCCTTTCATAAGGGATCAAAGGTGCAGAATTAATACCTTGCAACTTAAGAGGTGAATATTTTAGTCTTTATTACAGTTTCTGCCTCTATATAGGGAACATTGGGGGTTTGGGGGAACCTACAGGGCCTTTGTATACCTGGAGTGTCTTTTGGTCTTTAGCTGTTAACCTTCAAGAGCTACTTGAGAACTAATTTATGTTCAATTATGCAATTGACAAAAATTCCATGTAAATGCTCTGGTTTTCCTCCGTCCTCTACAGAGACGAGCTATGACCACCTGCAATGTCGATGTGACCAAGGTTCTTGATGAGGAGAGGAATGCCACTGAGCTGATAGGAAACTTTTCCAAAGTGAGATTTTTTCAACTTTTTTTTTTTCCTGAAATCTGTCTCTACGTCATCTATTTCTCCCATTCCTTGGCCCAGGGGCTTTTGCTGGGGCTTTGCATACCAAGTGGTCCTTCCTGCTTCCCTCTGGGTAGGTAGTCACTGTGTGGGAGCCTGGAGGGTGAGAGTTGTTAATCTACTGAGGTGTGTACACACACACACACAC